GTAAACAAATCAATTGAGTTGTTTATAGATTATATCTATTGGAATCTATGGAAATCTATAATATATTTCATGTGTCTCTTCTTGAGCCATATAAGATAGTGAATATCTTACAAAGAAGACAAATGCCACCATTGTCATAATGTAACATGGCTAATGAATGAAAGACAGAAGAAAATATTATAATAGAAGATCTTATTATAAAATATTATAGCAAATTATCTTAGAAATATAGATAATAATCAAAAGATAATAAAATTAAAGAGTGTTAATGTTGCCTATTTACAAAATAGACTTATACTTATTTTATAGGACTACATATTAGACAAAATAAATTAGATTAAAAAATTAAATAATATAGATATGTGTAAAAAAAAATTAGAGTAGATTTTAACAAAATTTACCTCAAGAAGCCAAGAATTGATACATAGAGAGAAATGATTGTCAACTTAGGTCAAAATTAGATCTTAAGGCACAAAACTATACACTTACATTGAGGCGAGGGTTTTTGGTAGATTAAAGAGTAAGACTTGAGGGCAAACTTAAAAGAAGATTTTTGGGCATTGATTTTATATCAATTAAATCAATATTGAGTTTTTGAGAGATTTTTAAGGTTAATGATGTTCTTAGTTGGTTTAGATTTTGAAAAATCAAAATATGATTACAAATTTAAAGATTTTTTGAGTTTTATAGTGTATGTATAAGTGAATTTTAGGCAATGTGTTGGTGTCCTAGTTGTAAATTTATAGGCAAATTTTGAAGTCAATTAAACAATTAAATTGAAGTGTGTAAAGGTTTTTGTGGATTGAGGTCTCAAAATTTGAAGTTTGAAGGTTAGTGAGTGTTTCTAAGATCTTCAGCAATTTAATAATTGGATTGCAATGAATTTTTTTGTATGGATGCTAAACTTGATTTTTAATGTTTAGGTGAAATTTGAGAACAATTCAATGGTACAAGAAGGAGATATTGGCATTAGAAGTTGAACATTTAGGTTGGAATAAGAGATTGCCCAACACTTGATTGAATTATCTTGCATTTCTTTCAATTAGTAAGTGTGATTGATTTTATCTTTCTTAAGCTTGTTCCTAACTAAGATATTAAAAAGTGTGCAAATTTTGAATTAATATCAATAGTTTGATCATTAATTATTGAAGTTCCATTTTGCTATAGGATTTATCAAAAGTTTGTTTAAGATCTAGGATTTGATTAGGATTTGATTTAGGATTTGATTTAGGATTTGATCTAGGATTTGATTAGGATTAGGATTTCTTTAAGATTTTGTTTAGAATTTATTTAAGATTTAGGATTTCATTAGAATTCATTAAGATTTGATCTAAGATTTGGTTAAGGTTCAATTAAGATTTTAATTAGGATTTGATTTAGGATTTGATTAAGATTTAAATAGGATTTTAATTAGGATTATATTAGGATTTTTATTTTTAATATTTTTTTAGGATTTTTATATTTCTTTTAAGACTTTTTTTAAATTTATTTTGATAAGTTAAAGTTTGATTGGATTATTAAGAGTTTCTCAAAGTTTATTTAAGGCTCTATTAGACTTGGTAGAATTATTACTTACCTTCCACAACTAGGTGTATGGTGCATTCTCAAGCAAGAATATATGTAATATGACACCGCCTCTTATAAAAATAGGTAATAATCTTTAATTCAAGATAGAAGAAGTTTTAGAATCAAGGTCGTGCCAATTTAATTTGAAATATCTTGTTCATTGGTGCAGATACAATATTAGTGAATAAACAAGCAAACAAACAAAAAAATTTGTAAATTCAACAAAGTAGATCAAAGCTTTTTATCAACAACATCTATCAAAACTAAGTTGAAGAGTTAAGCAAATTTTTGCTATAAAAGAAAGAATGTTCAATGGAGATTACATTCTATCTTCTATCCTTTATTGTGATTTTTTTCTATTAGTAGCAATAACAAGATAGAGATTTAATAGTCAATAGATTCAACTTAAGAACTATTATTTGTTGACTTATCAAACAAGGCATTGTGATTGTTATAACCTTCAAGACAAAATAATAGAAATAAAGACCTTCAAGAACAACATGTTGTTTTTCAAATATTTGGTAAGATACAACATATTTGGTATTACAACTTTGAAATAGGCTTCTGATGTGTGGTGATTTTATTTGAAGTAAGAACAACTCTTGATGTTGTTACAAATATTTTATTTGAAGGAAGTTGCAAAGGCCTCAACAATGATCAAATATTAAGATATTCTTTTAGCCTTAGAATGGAACATTATCAATGGTTGAGAAGACCTATCAACTACCTTTGAAGGAAAAAAAGATGAAAATATGTGACAAATATAATTCATTGCATCTTAGACTTGATTAATGTATCATCACCACTCTTCATCAAACTTATCTCTAGAAAGGAAGATAATGTCACAAACATATATCTTTATTTCAATAATTATTTAAATAATATGAATATATAGAAGTACATAAAAATAAATTAATTTGATAATATCTTGTAGATGCAGTTTTACTTTTATACGTATCTATAGGTGATTGATAGGTTGAACACTTGATCAACAAGTTAGCCACACATTATACATGTTGATATCTTAAAGTATAAGCTAACTATGTGTTATATATATAAAAAAACTTACCTTGCAAGTTAAGACATGTATCTTAGAAATTGGACATGTGTTGGAGGTTCTATAGAATGTTGTTGTATAGCTCTTAATTAAATAATATACATGGAGGCAAGAGTGAAGTCTTTTTCACTCTTATCAATTACTTTCTTGCTTCTAGTCTAGTTTCAAAAATCTTTAGTTTTTTTATCTTTCAACAAAAGTGATTTTAGTTTTTTTAAAATAAACATATTTATTTATTTCTATTTTTATCTTTCTTTAAGAAAAATCTTCCTTGTTTATTTACCTTCATTATATTCTTGTCCTTAACATCTCTTCTAATAGAATAGTATCTTTCAAAAAAAAAATTCTAACTATATTAATTATGATAAAGTAGTAAGAAAATTTTAATTACTTGTGCAATAATGCTTGATATAGCTTCTTGAATTCAAAATGAAATAAGACATAGTTTAATAAATAAACAGCAAAGAAAAAAAAGAATCTATTGTAAAATTCATTTTCAATAGAGACACTCAACCTACCTTCTCCGCCTAAGCTTTGATGCTCTAATACCATGTTTAAAGAAAAACTTCAAATGTTTGACCTTATATTAATAAAATGGCAATTGACAATGAGTGTATTATATCTCTTCAATAATAATGTATATATGTTCACAAAATATTATTGTGAATGGTTACTTTCACCATCAAACATAGCAATAACTATCATTTAGAAACTTATCATTAAACTATTATCATTAACTTCTACTATAGTAAGATAGGCATTGTCAAATAACTTCTTAATTTATAATAATAATAACCTTATTATAGATGCATTATATCTACTTCTTTGAAAGGGTGTGAAGAGATTGGTCTCCCAATTCCACTACAAACTTGACATGGTCTTTTAGTTGTTCCAATGCAGCAATGGTAGATTGGTTTTGGTTTTGGAGCAAGGTTTATATGCCCTGGTAATCTTTGCCATTTTCTTTGGCCATATATCTACTTCAATCTTTTAGTGCAAGATAATCTACAAACATTGAAATTAGAATGAGCCTTTCTCTACATGTTCATATCCAAATTTAAAAGTGGCACATCCAAGCTTCACTGTCTCAAAGTTTGGTTCAAAGTTTGAAAGAATTGAGTGTAGAACTTTCACATGGCTTATGGACTTGTTAATTCTTATTAGTTTGGATGTTAGAAACCATATTAATCCTTTGACATAAACTTAGAGATTCAAATGTTATTAATTGACAAATTGGATCTTTAAGACAATTGTTATTGTATTGTCCAAGCATTTGAGATTAACAACAAAGACATCAATGAAGAAAACATACTTGCCACATGTTCTGTAATACATTGAATTAAAATTAACTTTCTATGTGCTCATTTTTTAATGTAATAATAGTTTTTGCTACTTATCCTTAAACATCATAAAACAGACTACACATCCAAAAATATGTGGCAAAATTTCCTAGAAATTAAGTAGTTTTAATCAATGTTTTTAATAAATGTTAGAATTAAGATATAAAATGATACATTCATTTTAAAAAAGAAAATAAAATAAAATAAAGAAATGGCACTTTGAAAAAACATCCTTTTTTTAAATAATATCTTTAAAGGTCAAAATATCCACAAAACAAAAAAAAAAAAAAAAAAAAAAAAAAAACATCACCATAAAGGAAACCTTCACAGAACTTCTCTACCACAGCTTTTCCAAGTAGACTTCAGATATAAAAATCCCTAGCCTTACATCTTAATAAAGAATCCTACTGTGAAGAGGGTATTTGACAGATCCAATGCAACGTGGACTCAATCCACAATCCACAAGGGGGCAAAGGCAGTGCCCCCTCCATCGCCACTCGTCCACTCCCTGCCCCCGAGACCTCCTCAACTGCACATACATGCAAACATACACGCTGCGGGCTATTCACCCTCCCCACAATGCCACAGTGCCACAGTGCCACAGCGCCTCATACCCTCGCACTCTGCAAGGCGCCCAAATTTTGCCTCTACAACGTTGCAACATCATACAGTATACAGTTCCTTCCTCCGCACCCCAGCAGTTGCATTCCATTCCATCACGATCCCCCAAATGCTCCACATTCACCCATCGCTCAATCCATCACGATTCAACGCTCCTGCGCAACGTCGAAGTGCCCCACCCTTTTCTCGCAGGTTGGACAACACCCCTGCTGGATCATGTTACCCACTGCGCATTCCCACATGGCCCAGTTCATAACTCTGCCGTTGCTTCTCGAAGGGATTCGCAAGCCGCATTCTCCCGAGATGCCCCCGCCAGAGCTCCGGTAATCTTCGCAACACGTGTGCCCCGCTGAGCCTTTGATGTCGTTTTAGTGAGGCCCTTTGCAATTGTGCGTGCGTGCGTGGGTGCGAGCGCCATGGACGCCCACGGCAGGACCGACTTGGAGGGTGCGGATTGGGACGACTCCGCGACCACGGCTCTGTTGCCGGAGCGGGAGCCACAGGACGCAGGCGATGGCGAGATGCCGGATCCCGGCGACGCATCAAGTTTGGGGTCTGCGTTGCAGGAAGTGAGCAAGGCCTGGCGGAAGAGGACTCAGGCGCAGCGGCTGTCGGCGCAGCGATGGATTGAGCAAGAGACCCACGTCCCGCGGAGGGCGCGATGGAGGGAGGAGCTGGCGGAAGCGCTGGAGGCGACATGGACGCATGTGGCGATTGTGGTATTGCTGTTGGTGGATTTGGCGGCGACTGCGATCGATATCCTGAAGACGATGCACAACAAGAGCCACGACTTGGACGTGTGCGTGGATTTGGTGGAGAGCTGTCAAGGCTGCATCGGGCACTTCGAGCACAGCGCGGAGTGGAAGTGGACGTACTGGACTAGCATCGTGATTCTGGTCATCCTCATGTTGAACGTGTTGGGATTGATCGTGGCGTTCGGAAGATCGTTCTTCCTGCATCCGCTGTACGTGCTGGATTTGGTGGTGGTTTCTACGGCCCTAGGGCTGGAGGTTCTGCTGGACGCGGACACAGCGGGGCTGATTATCATCCTCACTCTGTGGCGGATCGTGCGAGTGGCCCACGGGATCTTCGAGGTGACGGACGAGGCGTGGGAGAAGAGCATCCGCGAGCTGGAAACGCAGGTGAAGGGTGTGCAGGATGCTTACGAGAGGGCACAGGAGGCTCTGCAGGAGAAGAACCGGGAGCTCGGTGAGAAAGATGGGCGAATCGCGGAGTTGGAAGCACGGCTCGAGAGCGGATCGACACCGTTCTAGGTCAAGCACGTGTGAGCAGCCGGGAATGAAGCGCTGCAAGGCGTACAGATCTCGGCAACCTGCGTGGACATGACGACTCAGGATACAATCGAGAAAGGCTGGACTACCTGCTTGGATTGGTGGGGGTGCTGGTCTTGTAAGAGAATCTAGGGTTTTGGAGCGGTTGCATGAGTACACAGTGGGCGTCCTCGGGCAGTTGCTGCACCAGCATCAGTAGACAGCGGCAAGGAAAATGGGTCGATGTCTGAGGATGCAATGCAAGCAGCAGCCAGCTGAAATGGTCGGTTCCCTACAGAAATTCGTCACGATTAGCTGCATTAGGGTCTGCAGTAGGAGTGCAGAGAAGCGTACGTGCATGGGGTTTGGCGAGCGTAGGAGTTTTCGAGTGTTAACTAGAGGAAATTTGGCTAGCCCTGGTGGCAAGTACTCCCATGAAAGCATCGTATCCATGAAAGCATCGTATCAGATGCAAAGTCTCCGTCTGATGCACGAATTGTGTGAGCATTTGTGGGTGGGATGCTTGTTCTCCCTGTAGGATCGTTTGCAGAGAGGCACAGGCAATGTGACTTCGTGTGGAGGAACATGGGGAAGTAACGATGAAAAGAAGTATGAGTATTTTCTTGATGTGTGCGTCTGCACTATTGCACTAGTCAGCGTTGTTGCTAGGGACGATGTTGTGGGCTGTACTATTTTGCGTGAACGAGACCATCTGGAACTTTTCGGTGCTATCAAACCACGTCATCTTGTTATGTGTTATGTCAGAGGCGATGCAACGTGTTGTGCGAACCCGAACTTGCTGTTGAGCTTCACGAATGATCAGAGTTACCGACTTCCTGTTGAACACGAGAGGTAGATGTCGGAAATTGCAGCAATGCGTGCATGATGTACTTATCAACCATGTTCCGACTCTCAGTCTAAAATTCTGGTTTGCCAACATTTCGTGGTGAGTTGAACATGGAGGATTTGTCGGACAATCTGATGATGAGTCAAGGCCTGAATGTGCGGCACTGTTTGCATGTTATGTTGAGGGTTTGTGCGTTGGTGTGACTTCACGAGTCTTAATGCATTCCTTACAACCATCACGGAATGTGTGCGGAAGACGCCACGGAGACTAAAAGAATCTGTACAGAACCTGTAGCGACTGGCCCAGCTTGCGTCGATTGCCATTCGCTAGCATTCCAGTATTGCTGGATCGCTCAAGCTGTCTCGCAGTCGGAGCGGACGCTTCCAGAAGTGAGCACGGCGATCCTCCCCATTGCAATCATGGAGGTCGCGAAGTCTGTGCCAAAGGTGGACGGGGAGGCAGCGAGGGTGTTAACTCTCCCGCTCGTGCTGGCGTCGTTTGCAATCTCCTGGTCGATCCGAAGAACTCCTTTGCTCGCCTGGATGTTGGTGAAGTAGCCGGTGTCGAAGGACGACTCGGAACCTTGGTCCAGGGCCACGGTGGTCACGTCGCCGGCCACGTTTGGGCAGCGAGACTGAAGCACGGCCAAATACGTCGCGTCCAGGCTGGGATCGGGCAAACCGGTGCCCTGGAAGTTGTACAAGCGGTCGACGAAAAACTGGCACTGCGAGACGCCGACGGTGTGCGCACCTGTCCACACCAGAACCAAACTTTAGCATCCCAGGTTGGCCACGACGAGGGCCCGAGGTCGCTCTGGACAGACACGCAAATGATTTGCTGGAGGCGGGATCATGATTGACAACATTACCAAGAAGGTTGACCATGTCGTCCTGCGTGAGGCCAAGATTGGTGAAGAATGGAGTGGCCTCCGCCACAGCGGAGTTCGGGGACGGTATGTTCACACTTGCGGCGGGAGCAGCGCCATCGAAGCGCCCAGTTTCTGCACCGTACGTGGCTCCACCTAGCTGCGCAAGTGAATCGGCAGGGATGAGCCGTCGGCAAATGAGCTACAAGCGCGGCAAGAGCAGGGGATGTGGATGTGGATACAACTGCGGACATTCATAGTGTCGGATTCTGTGGAGCGATGGTGGCTTACGATTTCGACAGAGTCTCGCGCAGCAAGGGCGATTATGTCGGCACAGGAAACCACTCCTGGGCAACTGGATTCCAGCTGAGCTTTGGCATCGTTGATGACGCCGTAGCCTCTCACAGATAGGTTCGGCGGTGCATCTCGCTCCGAGCCCGTTCCGGTGAGCATGATGGATGCATCGCAACCCTGAAGCGGCCCGACAGAATTTGGGAACAATTAGCAAACACACAGCAATGGGCAATCCACCATGATTGCGCCCCAATTCTTTCTGAATGCAGCCGGCAAGGAACACATCGTGTGCGGGAAGCGGTGAAGTTCGCCACATGGATTTCTGGGTTCCGGTGCCAGGATCCTCGTACCTGAGCGAAGCAGTCGTGGAAGTGCAAGCGAATGATACTGGCAGCGATGGTCCCATCCAAGGCGACAGCCGATTGCACCGCACCCTTCACAATGGATTCAGCAGCGCTGCATGTTGCGTCGTAGAACCCCACCTGGACGGCCCCGTGGACCACGTGCTGGACCGCGATCGAAGAAGCGATCAGTATGGTGAGAAGCCAGGGAGCAGGAGCCTGACTGTCACTACCAATTTTCGTCGATCTCGACATTTTGCTTGTCAAGCAGGAGTCGGAGGAACAGAAAATTGAAGAGAGGGAGGCTGGTTGATGCAACACTGGCGTCCACAGCAGCAGGAACGGATTCGGAATCCTCAGGATGGCGGTGGCAGGAACACTGCACTCTGGGCGGTTACAAAGTGATCGTCAGACAAGCAAATGCAGCAAGAGGGTAGGAGTGTGGATTGACGAATCTGCATTTCACCACCAAGTTTGCCCGGATTTATGTTGCCTTTCAGTTGGGTGCAGACCGACCTGCGGCGCATAGGTTCGTGGAAGTAGCGTGAGAATTATCCGGGGGAGCGCTTGACTATGGAGTGTCAATTATTGGAGAAGGATGTGCAACGAACCGCCAGCTGAGAGGATAAATGTTTTACACATCCAGAAGTCCGCGTGCAGGTTGGAGCAGCATTGGGTGACCGACGACAGGCAAACTCCATGAAACCCATGCTCCATTTTCTTCTCTTCATGCTCCAGGAACGTCGAGCGTCATGCAAAGTCAATGGCGATTGGGAAACAAAGGGTGTACAAATGCGGGAGCTGCCCGCTGATGGCGACGCAGGTTGACACCAGTAACACACCAGAGAGAAAAAGGGGCATCCGAAATAAGTACGCATGAGGCATTTTGGGGAGGAGTGGAACATTTGGTTGTACCGAGATCCAGTTCCCCTTTCGATCTTGTGCGAGCAGCGCTGGGTCCGCCGTGTTCGGAGGGTGGGTACGTTGAGTCGGGCTTGAGTGGTCGCAGGCCCCAGGGCAGAAGCGCGGGTGGCCCGCTCACTCCAAGATGTCCGAAAAGCAATGGAAGTCGTTGACGACGGATCAACGTCAACGCAGGGACTGGAGCACCCACAACACGGATGGACGAAACGGTTACACAAGGGACTTTCGAAGCACGCGGCAACCCTCCCACGGGGATGCATGCCTGCTGGTATGGGGGTGGGCGAGGACGGATTCGGGCTATCTGCACCGTGCAGCGGGGATGGTTCCGAGACAGCGGCTGTGACGGTGGGAGCGGAGTGAGCGCTGCGTTATGTTTTTGGTGGACGTACAGTGGTGAGCGAGGGTGGACGTGAAGAGTGGTGATGGGTACACCACAGGTGTGGGGTTGCAGATGTGTATGGGTCTCGTGCAGAAGGTGAGGTGCAGACATGTTGTGAGGGATTATAAGCTGTGGACGCGTGGATGTGCATCCTCACTCTAGCACTTGTTCCACCTGCTGCAGCGCACCCGCCACCCCTTCCACTCCTGCCCTTCTCTTGAGCTGTGGTGTGCAGCGTTACACACTATTGTGGGCGGCAAACTGAGGGGAAATGGTTGGACAACAAGTTTGGGGGACATGGCATACAGTGAATCAGCGATCCCTGAGTGTGCGAGAACTTGAGGCCCCCTTTGCCATTGGGGTGGGGTGTTCATGAGAGAATAGTAATATTTGTGTATTCTCACAAACTTGTCTCCCTAATCTAAGGCAACAAAACGTAAATAGTATGTGGCAGGGAAGGACGAAATTAACAAGCATTGCAGCATTGTTCACTCTCTTGCGGCTATCAAGCATGGGACAGTGTTGGTGGGTTTCAAAACAGTGTTGGGGTTGGAAACTGAGTACGCCTTATACTTGTTGAAATGAACTCTTTTTCATTTGGTCTTGATGATACAAATTTCGTTTTTGGAATGGTTCTATCTATCTATTTGTGTGCATTATGGTATTGTCTTTACCATTGTTGTAGAACTTTTTTAAGGGTGCTTTCTTCTAGCATTGAGTTATTGAGTTAGGTTCATGAATCCATACTTCTGTGTGTTGAAGTGACTTTTTTGTCATTTAATCTTTATAACACAATTTTTGGAGTTGGTTCAATGGATGTATTTTTGTTTGGTAATTGAATGGATTTATCTTTTCATTTGTCCGCATTAAGGTGTTATCTTGACCATCACCAACTTTTGAGGTTGCTGTGCTCATTTCCTCTTTGACATAGTTGAGATGAGTTGAATCCATGAATTCATATCTTTACATATTAGAATGGCTTCTTTGTCGTTTGATTTGTACAATACAATTCTTTATTTTAAAGTATATTGGGACAATTTGAACTTCGTTTTTTTGGTTGCATTTTATAAAGCTTGAGTTTTTCTTGTGCTTTGCTTTAGAAAAGATGACCAATTTATTCTAAAATCAATTATAATTTTTGATTTTATTCCATATGTGTTACAAAGTTGCTAATTTTTATTATTAGTAATGTAATAGAAGTGTTGAATTTATGTTACAAAGAATTTACATACAATGATATTCAATTGATTTACAATGTCTTTAAATTGCAAACAACAACCAAAATGATATTTTTCATCACCCTTATTCTTAAAAATTGATAGCATCTTTACAAATGAGTTTCAACACAAACTATATATGGTATGTGATAATGTTTTTTTGCAATTTATAAAAAATCAAGTATTTATATTTTAAATTATATTTTTATTAGAATTAGAGAACATTCTATAAAAAAGAGGGTTTAACACTCTTATAAATCTACGTAGTCAAATTATTATAAATATTCATATTTGATTGTCGAAATAAAATCCTTCTATATCAATAAAATATTTATGAAAATAGAAGTAAAAATTGGAGTGGAGAATATTCTATTCCAACTTTAGCATGCAACCTTTAGTTGAGTTCATTTTTATTGTGTTTAACTTAGTATAGAATACAAAAGATAAGATACTAACATCAACCTTATATTGTTGCATTAATTTGAGAAAAATAAAAATCATGAAAAAAAATATAAACCTAGTTAAAAAAACAAAAGTAATGGATTTATTTCAATATTTTACAAAATAAAATGTCAAGTATTATACTATAAATTCATTCATCTTTCAAAAAATATCAATTAATTAATATAATATGATTATTTGTAGTTGGTGTTATATTCACAAAATTGGATGCTTTAGCTTATAGGTCTTTTAAAATATATTTGAATATGTATATGCTCTAAACATGTAATTAAATTTATTCTTTAGATTACTAACAAAATTAAGTTCTTTGAAAAATCTTATTATAATGTATCTAAATATTTAAGATATATTACAAATGATTTGGACAATTTTAATGAAAACATGATTTTATCATTAATTCAAAATAAGTTCCTATCACTTTATCTACAATGCTATTGCTAATAGTTAGATATGCTAAATAGATTTTGTATTCACTCTCATTTCATTGCAAATTTTGAGGATAAAATAGACTACACTATTTTCTATAATCTTCGAGTAAGTCTTGAGTATCTTCCTATATTTTCTTCTTCTATGCAAAAAAATTCACATAATTCTTAGAAGAAGAAGATAAACTTCTAAACATCCAATATTATTTCAATATCCAATATTTAGTTCTTTCTCAAAATTTGTATCATTCTAGTTGTATTCCTTATATTACTAAAATATTTTTTGCTTCTATAATATCAAAATCTAAAGGAATTAAAGAAATTTTAGTTTCAATTGGAAAGAATAGTAGAAATACTTTAGAATAAAGATTTATCTTGAAAGCTACTAGGCAATTCTATGCAAAACAATTCACATAATTCTTACTCAATAAACTCAATCAATTATTAGAATAACTATTGTAAAAATTGTTTTACTTCAAGCAATGTGGAATATTCTAAATGATATTTGATATATTTATGTAACACATAGAGGCAAAAAGCATCCTTTTACAGTATAAGAATTTGTATACAGAAAAATATTCTTTTATAATAATAAAATATGATACAGTTGATAATTTAATACTTTTAAATTATTCAAACTTTCTAAAAAAATAATAATGATATTTTAATATAATTCAGCCACATACATACAAGTATAAAAATAAATTATTATTTTCATTATTAATTTACAAATGAAATAGGTTCTAAAAGAATGAACTCAAGATTTTATTGAAGCAACTTTATTCAAATAATTCTAATATAGTAGAAACAATCATAAATTAAAGGCGATGTCATTACTGAAAATTAAGGCGCAACCCTCTAGATTACAAATTACTAAACAATGGGTCACCAAAAATCAAGAGTATCATTTTAAGTTTGTTATTAGGCCTAATATATTCTCTGTAGCTTACACATAATCTTTGCAATGTAAGTGTCCAAATGAAGTAAAATAGTGTACTGTGATAAATATTGCAATATACAATTCTGAAACTTATCTTATGTCTTAAACACATATTCAAGTACTTGAGATATATAGTTAATTTATCCCACTTAGTCAAACAATGCACTCTTCAGTTTACATAGCATATTGACTTGGATTGAGCAGATCCACATTCTCTTAAATCAAAAGTTTTCTATAAAGTTTTATAAGAGGGGTTCTTCTCAACAATTAAATATGTTATTGTCACAATACATATTATTTGCTTCAATTCTCTCAACCTTGTCTTTCAAGTGAAGAAAAAATATCGGTTTTTCTGAATCCATCCATGGTGTGGTAAAATATTTTTTCAATCTTATTGGTATATATTTTCTTACTGTTGGTCTGCCAAGTTGACTTAGTACTCATGAGATATGAATTTAGTTCAATGCACTGAACGCACTCAATAAATATTTCTGGGTTCTTCTTTTGTGACACAATTGCTCTACACAACGTTCAAAGCATGGTCATACTTCCTTTTGTGTTAACACACGATTTTTCCGTATTTCTGCTACAGATACCGTAAACCATTCACAAATAAACTCCAGCTACGAGTCAATCTGTTACAAGAACTGCCACACCCGGATAGACCAAGGAATGAAATAAATATAGCTGATTGTACTCCTCCCTAAAAACGACCCTTATGAAAAAAAAGTTGTAGCCAGCGATCATCACACAAGTATACGTAAAGAACCAATATTCATAACAAAACTAAACCAACGTTAGGACATCACTTCTAGTACTCAACAAAAAAAATATGAAAATTCATACTTCTCCCTAATCACTTCTTCAATTCATTCTTAAAATGACATGAGGATCAATAAAAGTCCACTGACGTCTAGCTTGTTGAAATCCTGAAAGATATCATTATGCACATCTGCGGTACACCTGATATTGCAACTATTTACAGTTTGAAACGAAGATCTCAAGCACATGGTAACACTCTACTCGACTGCCCATGGCTTCAGGACACTAAGAATTTCCATTATTGAAAAACAACCAAGTGCAGATCAAAGGCAGTACCAATATCAGGGTTTCAAAAATGAATCAACAATCAAGAAAACATTGAAAAATAAAGGTATAGATAAAATACACAAACAAAACAATCCAATTAGGTGGGACACAATAGCGTATAATCAAATGATAACTTCTTCCACATCCTTCTGGACTCTAATATTGGTAGCTTTCTTATGAATCAAAACGGATACTTCAATTATTATTTTTCTCTCTGTAGTAGGCAGAGTTGTTATCACCAAAGAAAAATCAGAATATATAATTGTTGAGGACAACCGACGCACAAGCATTGTGTATAAATATATCATAAAGAGGTCTTGGTGAAGGTATTTCTTTCTTCATTGTTCAAACTGTGCTACATGTTTAGTTTTGTTCTACTATCTCGCTGCTACTCTTTACAATTCAGCCCTCTGACACGTACCAATATAGCGCACTTTGACAACAAAAGCAACCCGGTAAGGTAAACAGTCTCCTGCGCCAAAACACACAATCACGTTCTCCAGCTCCGACGTTCGATGGCCAGAAATAGACGACCCATTTCAGATACGCATTTCAGCATATTTGCATTTAGTGTAAAAATAAAATAAATATACCCACATGCAGGGAAATAGAAATGAGGAGGATTCCAAGTGTTTTCACACAATTTGACCTAAAAATGGAATTTATATAAATGTTTTAGCTAAGTATTCTCTTGGACCCATTTCTGATATAAAAGCCAACCTAACTCCCATCTTAGCCTAAATTCCAATCAATCCAGTCAATGGTGGGTTACAAAACTGAGAGTCCAACTTTTGCAAAACCAAGAAGTGTGACACCTAATTATACTACCACCTAATTATGCATACCCATTTCCAATACAATGAATTTTATTTATTGCTAATCAATGTGAATGTCAATGGATTTCCAATCAATATGTTGGAAATGTTGGAAATGGGGTGGTCTAGCATAGCAAAGATCTAGCAAGAAACTAGCAAAGCGAGGAACTGAGGTTTCAGTGTAAAAAAAGATGAAGTAAACGATCAACAGATGGAGCCAGAACAAAGTTTTGTCTTTAGCTCCGTGAATTAACAAATTAGCGGAAGTAAAAATCCTGACCCAATTTCATGAAGCATCCCCACCATTCATTCATTATATAAATTTACACGAAAAGTAGCCCAAGACATTCTATGAACTTAAAATAAAGAATTTGAAGGAAGAGTACCACAGAATTTGCCTCATTAACATTCAAAAAACAAAACAAAGGATGTTTCACAGGCTGTTCTCTGAACGCCGTGATACACGGCAACACGACGTAAATTAACAATGCACTGCATCCACAAGTTGCTGCAACGCAATATAGCTATAAATCTCAAATGACCGAGATCATGTGAAAGTGAAAAACGATGTAAGTTACAGGTGCGAATAAAAACGTAGGATTTTAAACCACAGCAAAAGACCTGAGAAAGGGGCATCAAAGAGTTGATTTCAATGAAATTGCTTATCTGGTGCGACAAAGTTTAAAACCAATGACTTTTGATTCAAATGGGTCTATGAACGAGGAATCACATATGCTCATATACTCAGAAAAGAGGAAGAAACAAACCATGACAATGAGAGCTAAAAATAAAAGAGTAAGAGTAGCATGGGATTAAACAAGGACCGACATTCGGTATTGCCAAATTGCCAGACTGGAATACATTTCAACCTAGAACGCAAGGAAACATGAGTTCAAATTCACGAAAATGGACCAACGCGGAGCCATCCTATACCGAGGTAAAGAAGCTAAACTGAGAGCAGTCGAAGCCGGATTCATAATCATGTTACAATACAACCGTGACGAGGCTGCAAGTGTCATGATACTGATATAAATAGTAAAAAAATTAGCTTCGGCGCAAACATACTGCATCAGTACGTCCCCGTGCGAACGAAGCACAAACAGCTGCTGCACCTTAACTACATCATGTAATGTGATACTCGAACTCGCCCATTATCTGCGCACGAAAATAGCATCCAAGACTTTTAAGAGATATTTGAAATCCATTACAGCTAAAAATAAAAATATTAATTACAAGTTAATTGTCATGTTGCACGCCACTAATGCAATCACGGCTTCACTTTCGCAAGTTCATGTGGCAACCACCACGCATAATCTCATTACCATTACTCAACCCCCGCAGAATTTTCAACTATTACCAGGTCGTTCAGCAACCCATAACAATGGAGAGATACACATTGCAGTACCCGCATCATGTGACTAATGATGAGCCCCCACACAAGCCTCCTCAAAGGGCGTACTCGTTCCTCAATTTACAAGCATACTAGGATAACAACTGACTCGACATCTAGAAATGCACAGAAACGAAGATAGTTCACTTACATGTAGGTGACTGATAGTGCACTTCACCACACCCTACTTCTCAGATGAATTAGGACCCCTCTTCTTGCCGAATCCGACCACTGTCCCAGAAACACAACAAACTTCAGTCAACAAGAATTTCCATCTAATTTAGATAAGATTCACACAGCGGTAGAAATTGAATCTCGACCGAACACCTAACATCCTAAAACAAGTCACAAACCTGCAGTCACAAACCGACGGTTGTACTGCATCCTCTTGTGCGCGCGACCCTTAGGTTTCTTCTTCTTATCTTGCTTCGCAACCTTGGGTGTCTGACCACGCACCTTTCCGGCACGAGCCAAAGATCCGTGAACCTTACCTGCCCCATTCAGAAAACGAAACCATTAACCTCACACCTAACATTTCGCAGCCCTACCAATCTGTGCGAAGCCAAACCCTCAAAACAATGAAATTCTGCACACAGAGAGCGGAGTTGGGAGGCGTACTCATGGTGAGCAGACGTCAGATCGCAAGCGAAAACGCAGTGTGCGAGAGAATGTTAGCAATGAAGCCTCACTGACGACGAGCTCGAGTGTATGAAGCGATAGTCTCAGCTACTGCTGCCGCTAAAAACCCTAATTCAACCAACGAATGATAAAGAGAACGAAATAAACGAATGAAATACATTCAATTTGGATGTAACGATGATGAACAAGGCCCAGAACTCATTCATCCGGCGTAATCTAAAACTATGTTAATCAGTTTCATAAAACTAGTTTAAAACTAAAGTCGTAGTTTTATTTCATGCATATATGTAATTGTGCGTGGAAATTGGGGCAGTGTGTTATTAAAAAAAAAAAAAAAAAAAAAAAAAAAGGCCTTTTTCTTGTAAATGAGAGAAAGATAATTACTCCCACCTGATATCTTGTTATCTCAAACAGTATGATTGTTCATTAAGTACAATATAACTAAATTATAATTCTTACTTAATTTTAAAAAAAAACAGTTTTGATGGAAATATGAAACAGGGTTCCAATTTTAGTAAAAAAGGTCAGTTACCGTGGAATTTGAAATCCGACCAAGATTTCATTCATGAAAAAATTAATTTAATTTCTTAATGTCCTCAAAATATTAGAATAACTTCTTAGCATTATTTAAAAATGTCATACATACCAGACAACAAAAAATAAAATAAAATAAAAATAAAAAACAAGAATAAAAAATAAAAATGTTTAAATTAACAATATCATGTATTAAATTAATAATATTGTTTATTGACTTATGTCCATTTGCAAGTCAAAGCCTCATTTCCTAGAAACCCCCCCCCCTTCGAGATCAACCAATTACATACCAATGCCAGCCTTGTTTCCACGTGGAAAATACACCCACGTGGCATCCGGAGCACTCCACGTGTCTGCCATGTGGGACAGCCTCTTAAGGAACCCAGAGCAAGGACTTTCCTCCACATAAATAGAATAATTTTCATGAGCAAGAGCAAATAGAATGAACAAATATTTAGTTCAGATCGTAGGGAAACGAGAGCTTACATCCCATATTCGGGAGGAATCGGGACATGGAACAACCGCAGATTCGAGCTCATGCCGAAGAATATTTTTGATGGGAACTTAATGTTGCCAAATGGAATCCCGGAGTGGCACTATTTGGTAATGCGACCCTAGAGTCGGTGTAAAATTCATTAAAAGGTAGTCATAGAGTCATGCTGTATGGATTGAATACCATGTAAGGAAGTAGTTGGCTACACGGAGGCTGTGGCGAACGGTGTGATTTGCAAGGTACCTGCGATCATCCATGAGATTTGTCAAACACGTTTTAATTTTTCCCGATGTATCCAATATGATTCATTCGTGAAAACAGGTTTGCAGGTATTCGGATTGTGCCTCTTTTAATCTTGCATTGAGCTCTTCTATCAATCCATCCGACACAAAAAATTGAAAAGTCTCCGCTATATGTCGGAACTGCACCTCACCGCAAATATTGTGAAATTCTCTGTCAGGAGTCGTCACCAAGATCCACCTGCACAGGTGGCTTTTCACCCGCAAATGAGGTTGATGAGCACCGTGGTTGAGAATACAGTAGATTATGCGACGTATATGTGGACCGGGTACATAGCAACAACTGCTGCCGAAGACATGAAAAGGATTGCAAGAGAGAATGCATTTGAGAGTCATGCGCCTCAAATTGAGAAAGTATCCTTCTCGCCCTAATCAGACGCGAGTATCATCGCCATGTTGGCTCTTTTGTAAAATTTACACATTTTTCGTCATTACTACCTTGTCTAGAGCCAAACTCGATCGATTTCATTCTTTTTGATCGATTTCCAGTTTCCTAAACTGTCTTTGAGTCCCTGGGTGCGGTATTCATTTTCTTTCTATCCTATGCTACGCATAATAACTTGCTGAAGATGCGATCCGATTCTGTATAGCTTCTTGTTACGCCGCTTTGATCAACATCCAGGCAAGCAGTCTTCTTTCGAACGAGGCTATCCATCTTACAAATACATTTCCTCTCCCTCTTAGTGCATTACTTGATAATTTATAACAAAAGCTGTAATACATTTGCAAACTCTTCCAATGCGTTTTTCTAAAACTCTATCGACAACCTTATTAAAATAATTCGTCCCCCCGTCGTTCATGGAGGCAACCTTGCTGGTAAACTTACATGACGACGCAGTCCGGTAGAAGATCGAGCCAGATCTTGCAGCCATAACTGCTGCTTCTCGCCAAGTTCAGATTCTTGTGGTTCGACTCCGATACAACCTCTTCAACTTGCTATCCGCATGACCGACAACGAAGTTCCATTAAGCGAGACTTAACGCTCCGCCGAGTTCTCATCCTGAAAGTAGACTTACATTTGTGGCGGTTGGATTGTGGCAGGAGCCCGCATGGCTTAAAGCGCGCCGCATCAAGAGCAACTACATCCAAGACCGGCTGCTTGTAATACTGAAAAGAAGACTCGCAAGATCAGATCGTGCGGGATGTAAAGAACCTGTCATGTAGTAGTTTCGCATTACTTAATTGCTACGCGATTGCTAAAGTGTCACAAAACTCTTCTACATCCTAAACATTTTTAATTATTGCAGTTTCGCAAACATCAATAATTTAGAAATCGAGATTGAGTAGGCAACTGTTCAGATGTCCAGACATCCTGTGTATTCTCTCAACCTCTTTTCCCATTCATCTAGGATCTGCTTTCTCGCAGCTGCTGAGACTGTAGTGATATAAAGCTTTATATCACTAATCAGTCACTCCTCTACGCTTTGGTCCTTAAATTGCTGGATTGAGGTTTGAATTCCATGGTTTCCTTAACTGTTAGGTAGCAAGCATTTGTTACTCGATACTAGATGATGACGAATCCTGACAGGTGAGAAACACGCAACGTCGTTCTTGTATGAAATAAACTCAAATGACTGAAGAAAGGAATCAAATATGCTCGTTGTGGAAACGAATCACGACACAAATGAAAAAATTAGCTTGAAAAAATATTTGTTGCTTTTTCAAATTCAATACTTTAAGTACAATACCCAATTTTTAATCTTTCAAGAAATGAAGTGGCATTGTAAATATATATATATATATATATATATACACTCTTTAAAATAAACAAATAAATTATTAAATGTGATTGTGCATCTAGATGTGTTTCTTCTTACCTTGAGCTTATATTTTCTATCAAATATCTTTGTGTTTCTTTATTATCCTTGTACTAATGCATGGTAATAGTACAATTTGTTTGTGTTCTTCCAACATCAATAAAAAAAAACCATGCCACTTCTTCAATATCCCTGAGTTGACATATAATGGTAAATTTGTAGATTGTATTTTATTTTATTTCATCCACTACATAGTAAAAATCTATAAAAGCTGCTTCAATTTTGTTTTCTTCATATTTTAAGATATTTTTAATAAAACACTCTTTTTTTATATAATTACAACATATATTTATACAAATTTAGATATTAGAATCTCTTTCTTTGATTTGAAGTAAAATCCATATCTAATATCTTCTATACCAAGCTTGATATCATATGCTTCATATTGAGGTATTTTATAAAAAATATTTTTAAAATCTAAAATTTATTTTTTATTAGAAATAATAGATCTAAATTATTATTTTTTTATGCTTAACTAGTTGATTTAATACAAATTGTTATCACCTATATATATTGCATATAGAGCAAATTACATCCAATAAAAATAATATTAAATATTATTTTTTGTTACTTGGATTTTTGAGGTTATTAGCAAGCATGAGATACGACCTTCTGGGACTAAATTCAATATACACAATGATTGATAATAGCAAGGACTAATTTAATGCTTCAATAAAATTACACAGTCTCCAGTCTAACATTAACTTGACTTGTGGTGCTACTGCATTAGATCTGCTACATGTTGTGCAACTTCATTACTATCTACCAAGTGCTTTCTCCAATCCATAAATATCCCTTTGCCTTATTAAATACCTTCTTAATTTTAACTGCCCTGTAATGGTGGCTTATCACTTCACTTACTGCTTCTTTAAAAATTGTGCCATTAAAGTACTTTGGTAAGTATCATCTACATCAAGTAGAAGCTCTTCAAACATGTAACATCCTCATAGTAAAGTGCGGATACTTTGGGTGGATAACATTTTTATTTTATACATATTCCACAAATATTGTATATATTTCTATAGATAATCATCTTTTGCAAATATAAATCATACATATTGATTTTATTTTAATTTAGCCTCGATAATTCATAAGACTTTATTTACTTGTTATAGGAGGTACTATTTCTACATTTTGAAAGTTTTTACTTTTTATAGTTTTTCTTTTACATCCTCCATAATATTTCTAAATATTTATTAAATACCAATACCATCTTCGTCCTGCACTACTAAAGATAAAAATTATCTCTCTTAGATTATTTTTAGTGTAAAGCAAATCTTCATTGCTCTCAGCTCTATTTCTATAATAATTTTTTTAGATTAAGGAACCAAAATAACAATTTGATCTAATACTCAATTCCATTATAAGAGTATTTTTTTTATGTTTATATATATATATATATATATATATATAACATGGTATTGAAATAGAAGCACGTATACATACTCTTTAAACTTGTATCACACACTTGTTTTGTTAGTACGAACTACACTAAACTAGCTAAGTATAAAACAACATTGTTGTTATTGGATGTGGCTAAAATTATCTTCATCCCAAGCTAACATCAGGTGTATGGCATATTTTTTGAGATAAGTGCAAATAATTAAATACAAACAAATGGTTGCATTCATTGAGAAAGAAAAAAATAAAAAAATAAAAAAAATGAACACTTGAAATGTATGTTTTAAATAAATTGATAATATCAATGAATGTAAAAATCTGGTACTATTTGAAAAATAAATAAATAAATACATGAGTAAATAGATATAAATCATAGCAACTCATAATACAAAAGTTAAAAGATGGTAACAATAATCAACCTAGATTAGCTTAGAGATATTTAGATTAGTATGGTTGTGTTTTACATTTCAATTTACCTTATTTATTTTCCTATCTTAAGCATTTATTTAAATTCTACATATGAAATATTATATTTTTATTTATACAAAGCATGTTTTACCACT